ACGTTTCTTAAGTCTTTCTTTGTTGATAACACTGATGTTTCAGATTACTACTGATAATTACATATTTTCCAAGGGAAACCTCTCTTTGGGATAGTCAGTTAGTTCCTCAGTAAACGGAACGCGCTTTCAGAGCTTCTGTGTTTGTCTTGAGCGAATGAAATCAAATTGAGGTATTTCAGTTAGTTCTAAATAAGTATGGGATAGTTTATCATTTCTTGACAGACTAGGAGGTTCTCCAGTTTTTCTCAGTACTCTGTCCCTGATCTTAGACGCTGGGAAACTGCATCGACTTTTCACTGGCGTAGGTGGCTGATATAAAACTTCTTTGCTCAAAACTGTACCAATTCGTCTTACCACTCTAGTGAACGGAATCATTTACCCGCTCCTCTCATTCCTACACATTCAATGCGAAACGTCCTTAATTTTGTTACCATCCGTCGTTGCACAGGAAAACGCGAAAACAGTGCAACTTATTTTTCTTTTCATAAGCACTCATCTCCGGTTTTGTTTGTAAGACAGTGATGGCCCTTCTTGTTTTGTGGTGTCATTCGCAAATGAGCTTAAAGTAAGGTTAGGAGTAGTTCTTTTGTTTCGTAATGTTATTCGCTGTAGTTGGACTGGACTTCTTTTATCGGGAGCTTCTGTCACATCTAGTTAATCGTATCTTCACAAAAGGGACCCAGTCACGTGACGCTGGATTATCTCTGTGTTTATTTATTCTTCGAGTTTGTTTAACAAAGCTTTCCTAGTTATGCGTTCTCACTACTTTTGTCCGTAATGAATTTGCATGAAATTATCTCCGGAATTCCTATGGTCACTGGTCCTTGGGGAATCCGGTTAATGTGTGACTTTATTCCTATGCAAGTATGCTTGTGTATGCATAAAGGCCTGTTCACCGGAGTTACGACTTCTCCTATTCCCTATTTGATGATAAACAAAGCTGATCAACGAAGCGCTTCATTAGCGTCGCCATGAAGCGCTTCCCATCGCGTTTGTGCTCAAGGTATCCCGTCCGGATGTGTGCCCTTCGGCATATTACTTTGTTTTCTTTGACATGTTTTTCTGTTTTTGTTTGTCCCGCTTTCGGTTTTAATCTTTTCTCCACTAAATCCCGTGACTTTGTCCCAGCCCATGAGATCGCAGTGTAAACCCTGATCTAGGCTTGTTCAGTCACGCCATTATCTCCGAACCATGCCATTTGACTTGATCAGTTTTGCCTGTATGCACACGCATGTTCACGCACTCGTTTACACGTCCCAATCGTTCCGATTTCGGTTCCCATTCACCCTCCCCCTCCAGTTTCTATTCTTCTGTCGTCCCACACCCGGAGTTCGATTCATCCGCCTGCCTCACTCCAATATGCCCGTTGTCATTCACACACCTCGTTTGTTGTTTCACTCCTCTTATTTCTCTCTACACCATCACCATCCATTCGAATCCCTGTTTCGTGCATCACTGCATAAGAAAAACAGGTTGAGACCTTGCTGGTGGAATTTTTCTGTCTGTCTGTGTAACTTCAGACCCAGTTCTCGGATATGATGATTTAATCCATTCGAAGACGAGAACGATGGGGTAACAAGACAGTTTTCCGACCTTAAAGTTGTCTTTACGGCATATTGTGGTTTTCATATTGGATCAGTTTTTTTTATTACAAACCAGTGTGTGATGAACAGCAGTCGGGGTGGACCCCGTACTCACGATGACCTGCTGTTCAGCAATGGTAACCGGGATCCTTAGCCCCGGGGCTAGGAGTGGCGAACCACATAAGACCCCGCTAGCTCAGGCGTAGTATAGAACCTGGTGACAACAAACCTGCTTACCACTTTTGTTGAATGCATTTCACTCCACTTAATCAATATCCAAAATCGCTTTTGATCGAGGCACCTTACCTGACATGTCCCGGAGAGTGATTATCCTGTAATGTGGATCCAAATGATATATATTGGTTGTGTAGCAGAACGAAACACTCAGAAAAGACATTTGCTCCGGGAGAATGCCAGAACCACCACATATACTGCACAGTTTGCAGAGCATTATTGTTTTTCAGTTTCTCAAATTGTTCCCATGGGGCTGAATTTTTGGTTCTGATCAGCTTTTGGAATCTCAGTCATTCATTTACAGATAATTTTCATTTGTTCCTCATCCGATGCGCTTGCACACATTTCATCATCAACTGAGGTGTTTTTTAAATTATATTGCCGAAGTGTAACTGTTTTGCTCGATGTGTGAACCGAGGTGCGGAAGCATTGGAGTAACCGTCAAATAGCTAATTATATCTATACATACCTCAAATAAATTTCCCTACACCCTAAGATCTTCATGTATGCTTTTCTTGGATGAAATTGGTAACATTCATTGCAGTTTCTAAGACTCGGCAAATGTTGTTCATTCATCCTTGTTAATGGCTTGGAAACCTTCCATTAGTTAGTTATCGACAAATAAACATTAAAAATCTGCTTTATCGGTTCGCCCAAAGTGATACTGATTATGATTTACGAAACCTATAAAGTCAGTACAGTGGTTTTCATGGACTATTATTGTAGATTTGAGACCCGTAAACGGCTGGACTCACCATTATCATTGGGAGAATGACGGCAGCGGTAAACAAGAATATGGTAATGACCGATGTTAAAAGATCACTGATAACGTGAACTGAATATTGTACGGGGTCCATTTACTCGACTACTCTGACCGACCTGCCTCTTCGGACGCCGAACATGAGAAAATCGATCCTGCGGGATGACAACACCAATCGGATTGCAATGAGTAGTCGTCTCTCCTGCTTGACCGCCCGACTCGCCGAATCTCCATTCTATCGGAAACCGTTGGGGCTTCATCGGCACAATAGTACTGAAGGGGAAGGATGTTCCATACCTCAAGAACTTGAGTAAGGGAATTTTAAGAAATAATGTTGAACAGTGAAAAAACAAAAATTCACCACTGGGAGGTGGTGGGGATAATAAACATCGAGTTAATTATACGAACTATCCTCAACGGGTACTAATGAGTTTTGTGTTGCAATCTAGTATAAAGCCTCCATGAATACTCTTTAGGGCTGCAGGGGGGGGATTCGAAGGTGTTGTCCATCGGGTGTCTCATGACATTGTTTCTGAGTCGTTTCAAAGCACTTATCGCGGTCAGTACCATATTTTGTTTATGAGGCTAATAACATTTTGAACATCTAAAATCTTACTCTTTGGCTGTATACTTTATACTTTCCGATTTACGTACTCCTACAGTCTGCCGACCCGCCAACTCCTCGTCACATTGGCCCGATTCTTCCTTCTGGTAACGATGGAGATGTATCATTTACAATAGACGAAGAAGAGAAACGTCCATCAATGGATTTATTCAAATCTATTTTCGCTTCAGATGAGGAATTAAGCGAATCGGATGCCGAAGAGAGCTTGCACCCTCCAGATCCCCGTACTACAGAGCTGATGAAAGGGGAAAGAGCGGAGCTCACGCTCCCCAGACCTACACCTACAGGTCCTTCCTCTTTGTTCGCACACTTGTTCGAATCAGCAGGCGATTTGGGTGAGTCATTTTCCATGGGATTGGGAATTCACGTTTGTGTTGTTGGCTTGCTTCGCGCGTTTGTATCAGCCAATATATATATATATATATATATATATATATATATATATAT